AACAATGGGCTCAAGCACAGGAACAATTGTGAGGATGTCATCAGACCAGGCAGTGTTTCGTTCTGCTGGGCACAGGGTCATTATGGGTCAGAACCCACTCGATGGCACCTAACCACAGCAGTAACAGATCTCCAGTTCATTAGGTCCATTTCCTAATGCCCACCACCTGACCAAGCTTGGAGCCAAACTGTCCACCTCTTGAGAACAAGAGTCACAGTCATCCAGTTTCCAGTCATATCTCCCTCGCGTCCCTTTAGGCCCTCGCTGAGCCCACCCTTACTTCCACTAACCATCTCCTTGGGGCCTGTCCGACTTCTGCCTGCTGCCTCATCACAAACCCACTGCTTCATGTTTTAGGTTTCTATTCTGATCATACCCCACTTCCAGATACCAAATTCTGTTCTAAGTTCTCCATAACAATCTACTCCAAACTTCAAGGCAGCGAAGACCATGCTGTCATGGTCATAGATTCTATGAGTCAGGAGTTGGAGAGGGCACCGCAAAGATGGCTCTTCTTTGTTCCACGAGAGCTGAGGCAGTGAGACTTTGGGGTTTCTTGGGACTAAATCAGTGCATTGTACATGTGGGTGAAAGATAGGTAAACTTTGCCCAGAGGGCTATGGAAGTATGAAATTCTTTGATTCATTTCCCAATGGGTGGCCTTGACTGTGTTGCCCATCCTCGAAACTAGGACCGTCTGTGATTTCTTCGAGCAATAAAGTATGGCAGAAGTGACTCTGTGTAGACACATGACCAGACATATGTACTCCCGTGTTCAGCACAGCACTGTTCACAATAGCAAGAAGTTGGAAACAGACCAAATGCCCATCAGGAGAAGAATCGATCAAGAAAAATTGGTACATACACACAATAAAAAACTATATATCGCGAAAAAACGAACACGATGAAACCATGATGGACTTCATGACATGGGTGGACATGAAGGACAGACATTATGCTGAGGGACGTTCATCAATCACACAAGGACAATTATTGAATGAGACCGCTACATAAGGATAAAACCCAAGACAAAGACTTGCACACCAAAAGGAACCAACTTTGGAGGTTCCCACAGAAGGGAGGGCAGAGGGGCAAGATGGAGAGCTGCCCGGTGTTGACTTGAATGAAAGGGCGCAAGGAGCTCCGTGGGAGGGAAAGGAGAAAGCGCGAAGTGCAGTTGGGTAGAAGGTAGGGTTGGGTCGTGACGAGTGGTTTCAACCATTGAGCGCAGTTGATGGTCTGAAATGTAAATCCCTGGCCTAATTCACAATGATAAAAAGACATTTAAAAAAAAGTGACTCTGTGTGACTTCGAAGGCTGGATCACAAAAGGCAATGCCACTTCCTGCTGTTTCTCTTGAACCACTTGTGCTTACGAATGAGCCAGTGTGAGAAGCCCAAGTCACATGTTCACGTGTGAGAGTTCACGTCTGGATGCTCCAGTCAGGGTCCTAGCTGAGCCCATTTTGCCAACATTCCCAGAAGTGAATCTCCAGTACCAGCTATTCCAGCTCCCAGATGTCATGCCAGCCATGTCTACCCACATACAAGCCATCCAGTTCCTATCCAGCTGTCATATTGCCGAGAAATCCATCCTGACCATGCCCTGTCTGAATTCCTGACACACAGAAGCCACGGACATAACAAAATGACACTTGCTTTATATCACAAAGTTTTGCAGTAGTTTGTTATACAGCTATGAGAGCCGAGTCCGTTTTATGATTATTTCAAAATCTCCTATCTCCAATTCACCTCTCTGCCTCCTTCAGCTGGTTGGACTGCCTCTGCTACCTTGCCCTTGATGCACCACATCTTGGCATATCTTTCCGTATTTCCTCTATCTTCTGCTTGCCAATTGAGTGGTTCTTTCTTTAGCTTCTCTCTCGCTTCCCGTACCTGTCACACCGAGTTAACAGGAACAAATTGGCCTGTACAACATTCTATATGGAAATTTCTTTAGCTACACCTCCAAGTTTACTAAGTTCATCTTCTCTGTTGGTGATGGAAGGCAGCAGTCTTGCCAATTCTCACCCCACTTCCCATAGCAACTTCCGCACGACCTATTTTCACCCGCCACCAGCAGTCTGCATTTGCAGCATTCATCTTTTTACTCTTTTCTAGGTTTTATCTGCTACCAGGTCCTCAAACCAATGCCGTAGGTTCTAGGGTTTTGTGAATGGCAGCACTCACCTTCTGAAGACAATTTCTATGTCAGTTGTGGTAGAAACACACCATCCCCAAACTGAGTCTCATCGTTGTTGGGGAGTCTTGAGCTGGCGCCTCCTCAAAGCCACTCTCTGCACAACGAAGAGTAAGTCCTGTGCCAGCCTCCCAGTTAGTGTTCTGTTCCAGCCCATTGTTGCTGTCGCTTTGGCCATCTACCTCACTGTAGGCGGGCTTCCTCTTCTGTGCTGACCCGTGGCTTTATCAAGCATGATGCCCTTTTCTAGGGAATGGTCTCTCCTGACAACATATCCCAAATCCATGAAATGAGTCTTGCCATCTGGGCTTCTAAGGAACATCCTGGCTGCACTTTTTCCAAGACTGATTTTTTGTTGTTCTTCTGGCAGCCCCTGGTATTTTCAATATTCTTTACCAACTCCATGATTCAAATGGATCGATTCTCCTCCAGTTTTCTTTAATCATTGTTCAAATTTCACATGCAAGTGAGTTGATGAAAAATACCATGGTCTGGGTCAGGTACACCGTTGACCTCTAAGTGACATCCTTGTTCTTCAACACTCTGAAAAAAGAAGTCTTACGCAGCATGATTTGCCCAGTGCCACATGCTCTTTGACTTCTGGACTACTGCTCCTATGAGCATTGATTGTGGATCCAGAGGAGTGAAATCCTTGACCGTGTCAATCATTTCCCCACTTATCATGATGTTGTCTCTCGGTCCAGCTGCGAGGATCTTTGTTGTCCTTCCGATGCACTGCGTTGCATTTCATACGGAAGGCTGCAGTCCTTCACTTCATCAGCAAGCGCTGCAAGTCTTCCCGAGTTTGTGCCAATCTGTACATTGCAGGCTGTCCATAAGCCTTCCTCACATCCTGGCGCCCTGTTCTCATTCATACAGTCCCGCTCTCACACATTGACAGTTCGTTGTGCCCTGCCTTGAGCAAGTCTGTCTGCACCAATTTTCCAATAGCACGTGCTCATTTCATGTTTCTGTGTCCCAGTTTGAGCATTCTTACAATATTTCAAACTTTTTGCAAATGCTGCTACATCCGTAATAAACTATAGTGTAGTGTACCTGGGAAACCGAGAACAAACACAATGAAGACAGAACCCCACGTGACTTGAACTAACCCCCCAGTACCCCCGACGGTGGTCTCGCTGTTACTAAGATCATGAAGAAGACGAGGGCTTCAGATGCTGAAGAAACGCACTGATTTTAACAAATGGTTTTAAAAATCATGTGAATAAAAATGACCAAAATATCGATATTCTTCAAAAATTAAACACGCGCAGACATGGAGATTTTGAGCACTCCCGTGGCCTAAGTATTTAAGTCTTGCTTTTCTGATTTGATGATCTGAGTCCTGTTCAGAAAATGCGAGTATCTGGAGCTAGCAGCCTTGTGCTGACGTACAAGTGGCGTTTGAGTTTTATGTTAACATGAGTCGTCCCCATAGGCAAATCAATACAGTAGCAACTTATGGTTTTTTTTGAGACTTTATTTTCCTGTTGTTGAAAGTATTCCCAGTCAAGCTTACACGGCTGTGACAATTTCTACATGTCCTTATTGGTGACATGGCTTGTATTCCTTGGATGTAGGCTTTGTGCCTGCCTTCCTCTAGCTGTTGGCAATGGAGGGTCCTCAAATCCCTGCCAAACTGGTTCACAGAGGCTTACAGACCATGCTCCTGGGGTATTTGTGATTTTACGCATGCTGCTACGAGACTGGAAAGCACTCCACACGTAACATTGGATCGATGGCCGATATCTAAGAGGCTGGGGGACACATCTTTTGAGGGCTCAGGAGGGTTTTCTGTCCGCTCGTCCAATTGTGTCTCATGTTCCTTCGGACGCCTGCTTGCAGGTCAGCACAGACAACAGCCCAGTGAATGTTGGAGCCTCTCTTGCGCTGCCTTCCTTTTCTCATCTTTATCACGTCACACTGCGGTCCCGTTCCTGCTGCTCGTATCAGTGGCTGCGGGTTTAAGTGGTAGTTCCCGAGTTTGGGCATGTTCTTCTGTTGCCCTTCGGCATTTGAACATCTTCACAAGCGGGATTTTGGTGGGATCGAAAGCCTCTCTGGGGGCGGGGGAAGAATCAGCTCAGTGTCCCCCTTGGACTACCACCATGTTGCTTTGAATGGGGTAAAGGGAAATTGTCTTGTGATGGAAAGCTGTTGTTTTGATGCTGGATAGAATGACTGCCGAGGGAAGCCCCTCGATACGATGGATTGACACAGTGGTCGTAACAGTGTGCTTCAATGTCAGGACAATTTTGAGGATGCAGCCCGACAGGGAGGGGCTTCCTTCTGTTGTGCATGGGGTCTCTGTGAGTCAAGACCGACTCCAGGGCACCCAACAACAACAATAACAACAACAACAACAGAATGACTTTTCAAGTGTTTCTGGGGTCAAGATGATCCCTATCCTACTTGGATGTGTTGACTGTGCTCTCTTGGGGTCCCTGTTTCAATAGTCTTTTTTTCTTCAGGTTTCCCCTCAAAACTCTTGAAATACTGCCTTCAAAGAAACCCGAAAGGCTCTCCTTCCTCTGGCTCTGAAGTAAATTTCCAGAGGGCTTCCCCACCCAGTCCACGAGACTTGACCATTTCCACGCCTCACACCAATAGGAAATACTCCTCACCTCTGCTTGTAGCTATGGCTGAACTCTAGCTGTGGTTTGGGAAGCCAGTAGCACTTTAGGCACTGCTGTCAGTGTGGTGGTGGCGGTGGTGGTGGTGACGACCTTTCCCTTTGTGCCAATTACTTACCAACTTGACCTCAGCCAGCCAGCTTAAGGGGCTCCACTTTCTGCTCCTAGAACTGCAGTTCCCACGTGAGAAGGGCGGTTGTCACCTGCTTTTCAGCAGGGTGCTGTGATCGTCATGGAAACAGACCTGTTCGATACTGCAAGCGATGCCACTCCAACCACCACAGCAACGAAGTGGGGGCCGCCGTGTCGGAGACGCACCTCTACCAGACCTCGCCCCCACCCATCAACACGCGTGAATGTGGCGCGGAGGAGCTGGTCTGCGCCGTGGAGGCCGTCATTAGGTAACCCAGCCCTTGGCTGAGAGCTGGCCCTGCAAAGAGCCCCCCTCTACCCCGCCACCCCCGAGCCCCCCGCCCGCTCAGAGCTGGCTTCCCACACTGCGATGTGCTCATGCACTTCAATTTCAGAGGCCCTCAGCCTGGCACTCACCTTCCCACGCTGTTGCAGCGACGGGCTTGACTGTCCTTCATTCAGTCATTTTATTTGCGATCACTTGCCTGTTAAGTGTCAGGCGCTGTGCTAGGCATGTGGGAGGCAGCAGGTCTCTGCCTTCTAGTGACGCGGGCCTGGCAGCAGCGGGAAAAGCCCAAGCATGTGGCTCCGTTCCACTGCGGGGGTTGAGAGGATGTGTCAGGTGCCTGGGGTGGGTGGCGCCTCGGTTCTTGGCTTCGCATGCTTAAAGAATTCACGCTGCAGCACGTTTTGTGATCCAAGTGGGTTTTTATGAAGGACAGGACAGGTTTCAGGTTTTATAGCCTCAAAAGGGTACACGGTATTTCTGGCAAGCGTGCCAAACCATGCTGGGGTCCACAACTGGGCACCAAACAACCACATGAACAATAGCACCCACATGTGTGGAACTTGGGGGAGGGGGGTCCCGCGCGGCCAGAGTCCAAGAACCCTAGAGGCTGAGAGCATGTGGGCCAAAAGGCGGGAGAGCCTTACTCTCCACCTGCCTCTGGCCAGGAGCAGGGTAAGAGAGCGCGTTCCCAGGCTATTTCATACCTCTGGCTGGGGAGGTGTGGTTGATGGTGTTGGTTGATCCCATTGGCTGAGTGAAGCCCACCTGGATGATGTCATGAGCCTGGGCCTAGTTTGGGCGCCCAGGTGTACCTCCCACCTGATTGAGGGCGCTGGAGGGTTTTCTTGAGGATCAGCATGCTCAGTTTGGGGTCTTCCTAGGCATCTAATGGTTGCCCGATGTCCCTCTGACCTCCTCCATAGGGGTCATTGCAGGCCTGGGAGGGACAATACCCCCCTGTCCCTAAGCTAGCTACCCAACAGATGCTCAGGGAATGAGGTGAGGTGCTCATCACAGAGGGGTGGGCCTAGGGTGCCGACCCCTTACTGACGGCAGCGTTAGCCAGTGAGGAGAGGCTGGCAGCGTGGCCAGGAGAGCTCCCAGCAACCTGGTCCTGGAGTGTGCCCCAGGAGGCTGCTAGGGAAGCCTCCTCCTGTTGCGTGGCAGAAAGGGCGAGCTTGAGACATGATAACCTCTGGATTTGTCTTTTTGTGTAATATTGATTGAGATGAGAATGCACACCCATCTATGCTACAAGGTTCCTGTTTAAGGATAGGGATGGCGTTTTTCATGTGTCTCTACAGAGACTCACGGCAGGGAGACAGTCACTGATTGTCAAATGAGAACGGCATAAGAAAAGCAGAGTCCCCAATTGGTCAGACCCCTGTCATAGCCAAACTCCCAAACCCAACTCACTGTCATGAGTCGATGTCGACTCACAGTGACCCCACAGGACAGGGTCGAACGCCCACTGCGGGTTTCTGAGACTATAACGCTTTACCCTGCAATAGACAGTCCCGCCTTACTCCCGAGGAGCTGCTGGGGGTTTCCATCTGCTGACCTGGTAGTTAGCAGCCCGAGGCAGAAGCACTATGTCCCCCGGTCTCCTCAGACTGCGGTCCCATTATCATCAATTTGCTCGTCTGGTGTTATTCAAACGCATGTTTGATCTCCGTAACTCTAACTAGACATCCGGCATTCTTTGGGGAGTGACCGTGTGCCATCAGTTCTTCTTCCTCCTGCTCTGTAACTTCCATTTTTATCATTTTTAGTACTGTGCTTTTATACAAATAATGTGCAAGTTGTACTTTTATTTTTTTCAAACTGTGGGTTAATTTCCTATGTGCGACACATGCATTGTTTATGTGGGTGCACTACACAGGTGCAAAAATATGATCAATACGAGTCCCGTAGACATTTCTTGGGAGCCCTGGTGGGGTAGTGGGTTGTACATTGGACTGGTAACCAAAAAGTCAGCAGCTCAAAGCTACCTGCCGCTCAGAGGGAGAAAGATGAGGCTTTCTACTCTGGTACAGATATATATCCTCTGAAACCCACAGAGGTAGACCTCTTCTGTCCTATGGGGGCGTTTGGAGTCGGAACCGGCTCGATGGCAGTGAGTTTGGTTCTGGGGCTTGGGTATGACAGCAGGGTGACGGACTGGGCACGGTTTGGTTCTTTTTGGAGCCCTCTGATCATGCGTGTTGATTCACACAGCTTCAAGAGAGAAATGCAGACGCTGACTTCTGGCAAGATGGTCGGCAAACAAGGAGCCAGAAGGCTTCCGTTTTGCTTGCTTCTCATGGTAGGAACTCACTGCCATGAGGTTGATTCTGACTCACGGTGACCCTATAGGAAAGGGTAGAACTGCCCCTGTGGGCTTTCGAGACCTTAGCTTGGCATGGAAGTAGAAAGCCTCATCTTTCTCTCTTGGAGCGACTGGTGGTTTCAAACTGCTGTCCTTGGGGTGGCAGCCCGACTTGCCATCCACTCTGCTACCAGGGTTTGGGGGCAGTGGTCTCTTTTTGCCTCAGTGTGTTCATCTCTGCATTCGAGATGTTGTGCCAAGCCGTGAGGAAATGGAAACATGCTTCCAGGAGTAACTGGTACCAATAAGTAAGAGCCGTTCATGACGCTTGAGCACTGACGAGGTCCTCATGAGGCTCCCAATAGGTTGGAACCCGCATGTTGTGAGCGCGTGTAACTTGCAGAATCCCTTTTTTGCAGCCTATTGAAAGAAGCCGAATTCCATGCTGAGCAGCGGGAATACGAACTGAACCGCCGGCGGCAGCTGGGCCTCTCCTCCTCCCACCACTCCCTGGATACGGCGGACTTCGACAACAAGGATGACGACAAGCACGACCAGCGCCTGCTCAGCCAATTCGGAATATGGTTCTTAGTAAGGGACCGGCGTTAACTCCCCTCCCTTTTCTTACTGGTCACCCCACGAAGTGCACCGATGAGGAGTTGCTGCTGTTCTTTTCAAAGAAGTAAATAGTGTAAAATTCACCTTAGCAATGTGGCTGGGTCTCTCAACCCTGGGCTGCACCTTAGCTGTAGCTTAACAAACAAACAAACAAACAAACAAACAAACAAACAAACGACAAAACAATGCCCAGCCCCCTCAGCAGACACATAAAACCAGACTCTCCTGTGTTTCCACAGATCTCCCGGTTGATTCTAACGAAGACCCAGGTGTTGGATCCCAGAATGGTCCAAACGGACCTTTGGGCGGGACATCGGTGGGGGAGTTGCTCGGGTGGCTGCTTCAACAGTGGCTCTAAGACCATTGACAAAAATTTATACCCCGACACCTATCTATCTCTGAATTATTTTCCCCCCTCTCAAGTTTAGTCTCAGCGGAGCTTTTTGTATTTTCTGGGCAATGCTTGCACGTAGCCCCACAGGAATTCTAGCCAAACTGACCAACTTGACCTTTTTAGCAAGGAGTGTCATGACTCAAACGCACAGCCCCAAAGTCCCACGCCAGCGGAGTGGACCTGTTCCGCCAGGCTGCGTGGGGACATGTGGAGGGCGTCTCCGGGGTGCGGCAACTTTTGTTAACGCCCTCACGTGGTTCCTTGAGAGGACCTTTAGTTTCATTGTTCATGTCTTAAGTCTTGCTACCTAGAGCGTGTCCCCTAGCAGCCCGACACGTGTCCCCTAGCAGCCCGACACGACTGTGAACCCTTTCGAGGCAGAGGAGGAGGTGTATTATTTGTTGATTGATTTATTCGGAGCGTGATAAAACACTTATTTCTGAACGAAGGAATGGCTGATGAGCTATTTATAATGTGGCGCATCGGGGCCTGCAAGTCAAGATAGCCGAATCATGCCTGGTGTAAAATCCTCAGGGGGTAGCGACCGTTTCAGAACCGAGCTGTAGGCAGGCAGTATTTTCACTGAAGATGAAATCGCATCTTTTAGATGAAACACTACCTTAGCCCTCGAGGAGTCCCCTCTGTTTCCAAAGGTCGCTTTCCGCCACTTCACTCTCATGAGGCGCCTGCAGGAGCAGCTGTTTTCGATACCCAAAAGAAATCCAATGAGGAGGTTCATTTCTTTGCTGAAAGTTCCAAAATGGAACTAGCGTGCATCATTGGCTTTGCACTGCACTGCCCAGAGGCTCCCTGAGGAGCAAACACCCATAACATCTCAGCATCGAGCCACCCCCCCCCTGGGTGCGCTCTCGGCAAGCACTCTTCATGGGTGCTATTTTAGGCTTGATGCTTTCTTTGGCAGGCTATTTGGGGGGCCCGGGGCTGCTGACAGAACTGTCTCCTATAAACTCGTGGGAATTGTGTCTTCCTTTTCTGATATTTGGTCACACAAACCTTGTCATGGGCCTCCTCTCTACTTGCAGGTTCCGGTGGACACCTGTAGTTGCCTAGTGTTTATTGCATACTTGAAGAGGCTGATGGGAAGGAGACATCTCGAAGGGAGATTATTGTGGCAATCCTTCCTTTCCTTTAGAGAGCAGCGTTTCCCAGAATACGCTCTCCTGCATCATTGATAATACTGCCTATTTTGCATTTGGGGGAACTTTTTAATGTGCCTTTCAATGTCCATGTAGAGACCCTGTGAGGCGGTTGGAGGCTGAAGCAGGGGTCTGCTCTGCCTGTTTGTAGGTGAGCCTCTGCACGCCCAGCGAGAACACGCCGACGGAAAGCTTGGCCAGGCTGGTGGCCATGGTGTTTCAGTGGTTTCACTCCACGGCCTATATGATGGACGATGAAGTCGGAAGTTTGGTGGAGAAGCTCAAGCCTCAGTTTGTCACCAAGTGGCTGAAGACAGTCTGTGACGTGCGCTTTGATGTCATGGTCATGTGCCTTCTTCCCAAACCCATGGAGTTTGCCAGGGTAAGTGGACGGCAAGAGCTTGAGCCTCCTTGGAGAGACGGCCGCGGTGTGCAGAAGCACTGCCTTGGTCGTGGGGGTGTTATGCAGACTGTAGGAGAAGAACCACACGCCTGGTTTTAATCAAGACAGCGAAGTGAGTTGAGTAGAGTCACTACATCTCTGGCAATGTGGGTTGGAGATGGGAATATGTTTTAAGATAACATAGTTTCTTTAAGTTGCTGAATGTTTTTATGACTGCATCAGGGGTTGCTGGGGCAGAAGCCTTTGGGGGAGTGTGTGGAGGCTCAGTCCTTCTCTAGCCTACAGCCTGTAGAAAGTCTACCATCCAACCAGGGTCCTTTCCGGTGGATTTGCATGACTTTCTGGAGCTACAGGGCAGGGCTTTCTGCCCCAGTGCTCCTTTCTGATATCAGGCTGATCGGACATATTTTACCAGCTGTGCAGCTGGGAAGACTCCTTATTTTCTGAACACAATCTAATTTGTGTCTGCTCTAGCAAGATCATTACTCAGACTCTGTTTTGGACAGCAGTCTATGGGGGGGAAAAGAAAGTAAACAAAACCCCTCGAAGTTATTTTCTAAGTTTTTAAAAAATTTAATTTGTGATTTTTCTATGTACTTTCCAAAAGGTGGTGCGGCAGTTTTCAGCGGAAAATGGTTTTGAAGTAAGACATTTAGTGACAAAGCAGTGCCCAGGGTAGCCTTTATGTAACTCCCAATATTCAGCGGTGTGTTCAGTTCAGTTCAGTGTTCAGCGCACTTCTTCTTTGGTGCCACCTACTGACACAGACATACAACTGAATTTTTGTGTAATGGAAAGCTCTCACTTCCTGGCATTTTGGACTGTGCTGATACATTTTCCACTGTCCCCGTGTCTCTCCTCCCACCCCCTCATCCCCCGTTTGAAAGGTGAAGATTGGTATTATCTGTCATGGTCCATCCCAGGTTCTCAACATCCCAGTCTTTTACTCTTCTCAGTTTGGACCGAAACTGCCAAAGACAAAACAAATCCCAGAAACGTAGTCACTTCTTTAAACTATTTAGTGAGTCATCTCATTTGTTGGTCCATATAGCACCAATGAGATGGTGAGATTTAAAATAGGATTGATTTGGTTCTTTGGACTAGTCTAGAATCTGAGATGTGATAGTTTTTGTTTGTAATAGATTTGTTGAAAATAAGGTGGTTTCCCAGAAGTTGTGTGTTCCATGGTCAAGACTATAGACCAGCAATCCTTTGCTCTTGCCGTGCTTATAATAAGGGCAGAGGCTTTTTATGTGCGGAAGTCTTAGAAACAGTACCTAAGTTCATGGTTGCCATATTTGCCTGCTATGGAAAATTAACATAGCAGAAAATGTTAGTCTTTGTAACTCACAGGTTCAACCAGCCTGAGTGAATTCTTAGTATAAAAACCAACATAGCAGAATATGCAGTGGAGGGGGGAAATCACTCTCTTCCCTCCTATTTCCCATAATCAGAGTGTTTTCAATAGCAAGAGTATAGCAATGGACATCCGTGTTCCTCTGCGGCCCAAGTGGAGCTGCACCTGGTGGAACGGGTCTGTCAAACTTTGGAACTAATAATGCCCTCGTCATAAGCAGGTCCCATCGAGGGTAAGTGTCTGGGATGCTAATTTATGTGTGATTCGGAAAGCCTGCCATAGAAAAGTTCCAATCTTAATTTGTTCTGAATATTGGGACTTATCTGCGGCTGTGCATTCCTTTTTTCTTTTAATAGTGACTTGTTCTTGCGGCTCAGGGCTTCTTAAAAGGTCAGGCTGAAGAGCTTCGGTCATGGGCTCAGCTGTAATGGACTGGGCCATGGATCAGCTGTACTCATTTCCTGGCGGAAGCCCTTGAGTGTCCTTGTAACGAGCACTTTTGTTCTGTTCCCCGGTGGCCCTGGAAATCCCATCAGGTTGGTGGATATTGGGATAAGTCTTGCAGCACGGTGACGCAGTTGAAGGAAGGTCTCCAGAGAACCCTCTGCTTGATCCCCTACAACGTGATCAATCAGTCCGTGTGGGAGTGCATCATGCCCGAGTGGCTGGAAGCCATCCGAACAGAAGTCCCAGATAACCAGCTAAAGGAGTTCAGGGAAGTATTAAGGTGGGTAAGTAGTTTAATGCTGCCACCGCTATCGATCGTCATGGCATCCTCCGGTGTGGCAGGCCCTACGCTACCATTTTCCATCAGCTGGTTTTTCAGGAAGCTTTTGGAGAAATTGGAAGCTGCCGAAGTGAGATAATTATTACAGATCGTGAGGAGGTGACTTAGATTTATTCAGAAAAGATTCTTGTGGAATACTAAGTACCCACTGATGTTGTACATCATCGGATTCATTGTGACTCTATAGGACATGGTCGAACTGCCTCGTAGGGTCTCCGAGGCTATAAACCTTTATGGAAGCAGGCTGCCACAATCCTTCCTCCTTCCAAACGGCTGACCTATTAGATAGTTGTCAGGCACTGAACCACTGGGCCACCAGGACTCCTCAGAAGACCGTACAGACACACCATTATGTTACATTATTTTCTAATATAATTATGATTGGCATTGGTAGCATGGGGTGTTGGGCTGCCAACAGCAAGGCCAGCAGTTTGAAACCACCAGCGGCTGCGTAGGAGAAAGACAGGTCTTTCTACTCCTGGAAAGAGTTGCTATCTCGGAAAGTTGCAGGGGTGATTCTACCCTGTCCTATTGGGTCGCGGTGGGTCCTCATGGACCCGATGGCAGTGGGAGGTATCAGAAGTAATCTAGGGATGATTGAAAGTATATGGGGGGTGTGCATAGGTTATAGGCATTTGGGCATCTGTGGATTTTGGTATCCAGGGGGGTCCGGGAAGCAACCCCCTGGCACATATTGAGGGACGACTATATATTTTCTATAGGTTTCTATTCCAATGATATAAACCGTTCTATTGCTTTAAGGGAGGAAGCATGCTGGTACCAGGTCAGGACACAGAAATATTTCGGTCTCAATAGTGGACTCCAGTATATGCCCATTGGTCATTTACTGTCATTGCTCTGTTTTCCAGCAAAATGTTTGACATTGAGCTCTGCCCTCTACCCTTTTCATTGGAAGAGATGTTTGGCTTTATCAGTTGTCGCTTCACAGGGTACCCTTCCTCTGTGCAGGAGCAAGCCTTACTCTGGCTTCATGTAAGTGAATGATGCTTTTGATCCTTTGGGGCAATACTTCTTAGTCTGTGGGATTTAGATCCCAGGGTAGAGAGGCAAGGACTTATTGCACATCGTCAAGAAACACATATGCTTTCTGAGAACCATTTGTAGACTAGTATGCCATAGGCGTAGAGCCGTAGGTGAATGACTATATTTAAAATCTATGTAGCAATAGTTATCATTAATGGATCCCACATTTATATATCCTTCCAACAGTGCATGCTAAATAACTGTTTTGTGGGTTTCCAATACATCGCTTAGTATTAAAAACACAAATCCTTTTCTTGGAAAGGCTAAATGGTACTGATTTCGGGAGCAGTGTATGGTGTTCCTTCAGCCTGGAATGACATGCTCTCCACTTGTGAAGTCCAAGTTAATCTTTTAAAAGTCAAACCCAAAGTTATTTTCTCCATGAAGACTTCTGCTACTTGACACCCCTTCTTTCCATTAGAATTCACGGTTCCCTCTTCTAAAGTCCCTAGAGATTCATCTGTTCACTGTCTGCTACGCCAGTCTTACAGTCTTTGCTGATGACAAACTTTAGTTGCATGAGTATGTCTTTTTGTTTTTAATTAATCATTTTATTGGGGGAGGGGTCTCTTACAAGCATGACTTGTCTTATTGGTCTTTAAACTTAGAAGCCCATTTTCCCTCCCAGTATCTGGAACATACCAGACATTTCATAGATGTTCAATAAACATTTATTAAGTAGAGTTGAATATCTGGCAAAGTTTGATCCGTTCAGAAAATGAGGACAGACTCATGTTTAGATGACCTGTGAGCGCGAACATTTTGGGGAGCACTACACTTATTCAAGCTGCATGCTGAGCAAATAGCCCGAGAAGCTGGACTACGTGAAGAAGAACTTGACATCAGGATCGGAGGACGGCTTATTAATAGGTGTCACAACCTTGCTTGCTAACAGTGAGGAGGTCTTGAAGCACTTGCTGGTGAAGATCAAGGGCTTCAGTCTTCAGTAGAGATGACAACTCAATGTCAGAAAGCCAAATCCTCACAGCTGAACCAGTAGACAACATGATGATAAATGGAGAAAAGATGGAAATCATCAAGGATCTTTTTACTTTGATCCACAATCAATGCTCGTGGAAGCAGCAGTCAAGAAATTGAATGACCGATTGCACTGGGCAAATCTACTCCAGAAAACCTCCTTAGGTGTTCAAGAGAACGGATACTACTTTGAAAACTTGAGTGTGTTGGGCCCATGGGAAAGTTGGACATTGAAGGATTCGAAGGGCAAAATAATGAACGATACATGAAGCATCAAAGTAAGATGGGGGAAAAATACACAAAACACTGCTCCCAAAAGAATGAATGGTCACCCATTTTAGGAAGCCGGTTATAATCAAGATTCCCTCATATGGAAGGAAGCCGTCGAGGCTGAAAAGAAGACCTTGGTGAAAAACGAGTTTCCAGGAATGGACGGAATACCAATTGAGATGTTTCAGCAAATGGATGCATTGCCGGAAGTACTTATCTGTGCTAAGAAATTTGGAAGACACTTACCTGGCCTTGTGACTGGAAGAGATCTAGATTGGTTTTCATTAAAAAAAGTGATCCAACAAGATATGACCAATATTGAACAATTTCAGTAATCTACATACAAGTAAAATTTACCTGAAGGTAATTTAAAAACAGCGGCGCCAGCAATCAACAGGGCATTGCCAGAAATTCAAGCCAGATTTAGAACAGAACGTGGAGAATGGTATTACCATTCCTGAAGTTGATGGATTGCCACCAGAGAATGCCAGAAAAATCAATGTGTCTGTGTTTTCATTGACTGTGCCAAGGCATTCAACTGTGTGGATCATAGGAAATGATGAAGAACGTTGTAAAGAACAGGAATTCCAGAATAGTTCACTGTGAATCGTGTGGAACCTGAATTTAGACCAAGAGGCTTGAACAGGACAAGGGCACTCTCTGGTTTAAAATCAAGGGCGTCTCCTTTAACCATATTTATTCGATTTTTGTGCTGAGCAAACAGTCTAAGCAACTGTGCTCTATGACAAAGGACATGGCCTCAGGATGGGAGGAGGGCTTCCTCACAGCCTTTGAGGTACAGATGGCACGACCTTGAAAGTGAAGTCTAGATGGCGCGACCTTGATTGCTGAAAGGGAAGAAGACCTGTGGGGCTTACTGGTGAACACCAAAGACAACAGCCTTCAGCGTGGCTTACACACCAACAGAAAGGAAACCGAAGTCTGCACCACAGGGCCGGCCAGCAACATCAGGTACACTGTGTAAACACAAAAATTGTCAGGGATTTCATTTTACTTCGATCCGCAATCAACAATCCTGGGAGCAGTAGTCAGGAAATCAAATGACAGCTTGCACTGAGCAAAGATTCAGAGACGGCATTTTTAAGGAGCACCTACTACCCACGTGGAGGGTAAAGAAAGAATTTGATTGATGGTGCTGGGGAAGGGTATTGACTAGCCCGTGGACTGCTGGCAGGATGAACAGCTACATCTCCCTAGAAGTACAGCTAGAGTGTCCCTTGCAAGCAAGGATGGGGAGACTCTGTCCTCCACACTTTGGACATGCCCGCAGGAGGGACCGATGTTAGAAAACGATCTCATACTTGGTCAAGTTGAGGGTCAACGACAAAGACGAAGACCCTAAGCAAGGTGGATTGATACAGTGGCTTCAACAAAGGTCTCCAGCATCACCACAATTGCGAAGAGGGCCCAGGACCGAGCAGCGTTTCGTTCTGTTGAACATTAGGGTTGCTCTAAATCAAAACCAACCCGACACCTCTCAACAGCAGCAGCCACCACCAATAGATATGGGTAAGGTCAGCTCTCATTTTAGGACAAGCCAGTACTTCTTCAGATGGCTTGATGTCTTCTTAGTTACTGAGTACTGAAAAGGGTTCTCACACTGTGCTGTGGGGGTGGGGTGCGTTGGGCTGAGGAGCAAGGCTGTAAATGCCTGCTCCCACCAGACTCACAGTGGGTTCGCTTTGTACATTCTACAGATGGGCTTGCACAACTATGCTGCATTTGAAGATTTTAAATCACAACTTCAGAATAGAGTGGAAAATACAGTGGACCGAGTAAATGAATGAATGAATGAATTGTGAGGCCATTTATAGAATTCCTATGTGCCAGATACTGTGATAGGCATCAAGGGCGGAACCTGGTCTTTTCCTCGTGCTTTCTTCGACAAGTACAGTGGGAGGGTCGTTAGATGCTATAGAGTTGATTCTGACTCATAATGGTCCATCCTATGCACAGTAGAAAGGTTTTGCACCATCTCCACCATTATTATTGTATTTGAACCCACTTTTTGTAGCCCCCTTTTCAATCCATCTTGTTGAGGGTCTTCCTTTCTCCCTTCTACAATGGACAAGAGGGATAGATTTATCCTTGTCTGAAAGAAGGCATCTATTTCCATAAAATCCTTGACAGCTGAGTCTTGATTTGGACCCAGAAACATACCTGAGACTCAGGATCATCAGAGTACAGGATCAGGTGGGGCATTCTCCTTAGTGGAGAGCGTAGATCAGAGAGGATATGAATTGGGATAGGAAGATTATTCAGGATTATCAACAGTTCAGAGAAACACGATGAACGGAGGCAGTAGCACAGTGTGGCAAAGAGGAAAAACTGTCAGATGCTATTACAGACAGGACATGACAACTTATTGACTGTGGGGGCAGGGAGTGATCACGTTCCGTGATAATGCTGCTTTTTTTACCATAAAGTGTTAAGAAGGGGCGTGCTGATATTCCAAATGCAGAAAGCCAAATCCTCATGCCAATGATTGGCTTTGGAAAAGAAATGTTCACTGTTGTTGTGTTGTGTTTAAGTTTATCTGTTTTGGAAGGATTTATGCTCTTTCCCCCTTAGGTGCTATCGGAGTTAGACATCATGGTTCCACTTCAACTCTTGATAAGTATGTTTTCTGATGGAGTCAATTCTGTCAAAGAACTGGCAAATCAAAGAAAATCAAGAGCCAATGAATTAGCAGGGAACCTTGCCGCTCGCAGGGTAAGTATTGCCACCACTGGTTCCGACTTCCTTGTTAAGATTTTGAAATCTCTTGTCAGTTGTACCAGGTCTGAAATGGGTATCATCGTAAGCATCTTTGAAAATGCTTTTTCACTCGACCACAACTCTATTAACCTTTAAATCATATGAAAGGATAGAAAATATTATTAAAGGCAGGTGTGGTTTAATCTGTATTCAGTAGGTTACTGCTTTTTATATTTCTGGTTTGAACGTTTCACCTTTGAATCGGCCTGATGGCTTTCTTCTACCCTGGTGAAAGGAAAAAGAGATGCTTATTTGGTCCTGTTCCATTTTGTTGTTTCCAGATAAACAAGAATTCTTCACTAACCACTAGGCAGACCAGTGCTCCCCTTTGGGGGTCAAGGGAGTGGATTTATGTGTTTATTTTTGGTATTGAGGCTTGGGGAGGCAAGATCAACTGATGGTCACTGTGAGCGATGCTGTGACCATGACCCATTGAGCCCTCTTTTGAGGGGGTGGGGAGCCTCATTGTACATTTGTGGATGACAAAATTCAATGTAGTCTTGCCTACAGCGTATGAAAATTGTGGAACATTTTGGATAATTTTTTTTCTGTGAGAGATCAGGAACTTGATAGAGTTTCAGCTGATACACTGGCATCTCTAGACCACGCTCAAGGTTTGGAAATCTGGGCTCTTCGCTAATGGATGGCAAGACCTGATCTCAATGATCTCCTTGTTAAGGCTTTCTCCAAAATGTTTTCTCTGCCGTGAGCCACAGGCTCCTAGTCATTCTACTTTATATCTCTATAGCTAGTAGCTAGAAGCGGTAGTCATGATCCGAGGATAATAGCTTCCAAGAGCATTCCGTGCTTTAAAAAAAAAATCATTGCTTATTTTCTTATTCTCCCGTTAGGAACCAGCTGTCACAAACATTTATTACTTTCTTTCTTTCTTCTAGAACCTTTAATGTGCATGCCCTTGTGTGGCACTTGGTAGAAGTGCTCATTACTTTATATAATGTTTTCACAATTAATGATATCATTTGATGCGCATGGAATTGTGCGAGACGCCGGGGAAGGGATCATTCCCTAATTTGATAACTCACGCTTGACCCGATGAGCTTCAGAAGTGACCCCCGAGAGACCCGGACCGTTAGAACCGGCCAGGAATGTTGACCCTTAGCGAGGCCAACTTCCTCTTTCTCTTAGAAGGGCTGCTCACGGACTTTTCCCGTGACTAGCAAGAGCCCTGGTGGCACGGTGGCCAGACAGCGGGCTGCAATCTGAAAGGTCAAAATCACCAGCCGCCCTGTGGGAAAAAGACGGGCTTTCTGTTCTCGTAAAGAGTTCATACAGTCTTGGAAAGTGCAGCTGTACGCTGGTCTATGAGTCAGCATCAACTCCATGGCAGCAGGTGGGGCTTTTTGGAGCAAGGTCTTAAGAGGGAAGATATGATTTGAGGGTGACGTACAGGTATGTGCCAGTCAGGGTTCTGCTGCAGAAATGACCTCAGATGGTCCAAACGATGGGATGGACTGTAATGAGGGGTCTGCTTCTAGAGTCAGGAGAAAGGCTCAGGGAGCAGATAGGGCATGTAGCAGGGTACATAGGTGTTGTGTGGGGGTAGCTGTGGTTGGTAGGTGCTGTCAAGTTGACTTTTGACATAAAGAGACTCCACGTGACAGACTAGAACTGCTGTGTGGGCGTTTCCAGGCTGTGCCCTTTAAGCTGATCATGAAGGCTCTTGTGGAGGCCCTGGGTGGGTTCAAACTGCCTCCCTTTCCTTTAACACCTGAGCGATTAAACAGGGCTTTCTCTTTGTGTATGTGTTTATAGTATATTATATTAATGCAATATATATGCATAACTATGCATTATATGGGTAGATATGATATTATTACCCTATGACTGGAGGGGCAAGAGAAAGTGTTTCTGCAGCCCAATGGAAACTTTAACTGTTGATAGAGTAATGATGAGCAAGTCTAGAAAGAATGATGTAGGCAGAGTCAGGGGTATAGCACCAGATTAGGTTGGGGTAGGGGGTGGGGTGAGGAGTCTTCCTACCTCTCCTTTCTCCCACTGTTGGATCTTCTCCTAATGTCTCCCATCAACTGAATCCAAATGGTAGCCAGTCAGTAAGGGAGCCGAGAGAGAGACAGTCCGTGGGCACAGACAGGGCAGAAGAGGACACATAGGGTCTGGGTCTGGAATGGGTAGGCTTAGGGAGTATAATCGGTATAACAGGCTGGACATATGTGAAGTTTTACCAGCATAATTTAATAATTATAATACCTTGAGGTCATTCTTCTGTAATGAGTCAGGTCAATCTGAGATCTTGTGCTATGATTCTAAAAATTATCTTACCATATTTTCCCTGTGGTAAATTCTCTTTTTTTGGTGGGAGAGTGACGGGGGTGGGGTGGGGGTGGTGGGGGGTGCGTGGGGTCTGGTTGTTAATAGCTGTAATGAGTCAGGTCAATCTGAGATCTTGTGCTATGATTCTAAAAATTATCTTACCATATTTTCCCTGTGGTAAATTCTCTTTTTTTGGTGGG